GGTTGAGGTTTGCGGTACTATCACCCGCGAGGGCAAGCCCATCATGCACGTCACTAGCCAGTTCCTCTACCGCGGTGCTTACACCGACTTTGAGAACACCTTCCAGCGGAAGGATGAGGTCCCCATGCAGGTTCACTTGGCCACTAGCCGGGATGTTGCCATCCTGCGATCCAAGGAGTGGTTCCGCGTGGACGACTCCGAGACCGAACTCCTCGGTGCAACCCTGACCTTCCGTCTGCAGAGTTTGATCCGCTTCAAGAACCACACTGTGTTCAGCAACGTCCAGACTATCGGTCAGGCTCTCCTCGAGCTTCCCACCAAGGAGGTCATCCAGGTCGCTTCCGTTGAGTACGAGGCCGGTGACTCCCACGGTAATCCGGTCATCGACTACCTCCAGCGTAACGGTACTTCCATTGAGCAGCCCGTGTACTTCGAGAACCCCATCCCCCTCAGTGGCAAGACTGCTCTGGAACTGCGTGCTCCCGCATCCAACGAGACCTACGCTCGCGTCTCTGGCGACTACAACCCTATTCACGTTTCGCGTGTCTTCTCCAGCTACGCCAACCTGCCCGGAACCATCACTCACGGCATGTACAGCAGTGCCGCTGTTCGCAGCCTTGTTGAGACCTGGGCCGCTGAGAACAACATCGGCCGTGTTCGTGGCTTCCAGGTTTCCCTGGTCGGCATGGTTCTGCCCAACGATATGATCACTGTCAAGCTCCAGCACGTCGGTATGATTGCTGGTCGTAAGATCATCAAGGTCGAGGCCCTCAACAAGGAGACGGAAGACAAGGTTCTCCAGGGTGAGGCCGAGGTTGAGCAGCCCGTTACCTCTTACGTCTTCACCGGTCAAGGTTCTCAGGAGCAGGGCATGGGTATGGAGCTCTACGCCAGCAGCCCTGTTGCCCAGGAGGTCTGGGACCGTGCTGATCGCCACTTCATGGAGAACTACGGTCTTTCCATCATCGACATTGTCAAGAACAACCCCAAGGAACTCACCGTCTACTTCGGTGGTCCCCGTGGTAAGGCCATCCGCCAGAACTACATGGCAATGACCTTCGAGTCTGTGAACGCCGATGGCTCCATCAAGTCAGAGAAGATCTTCAAGGAGGTTGATGAGAACACTGCCTCATACACCTACCGCTCTCCCACTGGTCTTCTCTCTGCCACCCAGTTCACTCAGCCTGCCCTGACCCTGATGGAGAAGGCCAGCTTCGAGGACATGCGCTCCAAGGGCTTGGTTCAGCGTGACAGCAGCTTCGCCGGTCACTCGCTCGGTGAATACTCTGCCCTGGCTGCTTTGGCCGATGTCATGCCCATTGAGAGCTTGGTGTCTGTCGTGTTCTATCGTGGTTTGACTATGCAAGTTGCCGTCGAGCGTGACGAGCAGGGTCGCTCCAACTACTCCATGTGCGCTGTCAACCCCAGCCGTATCTCGAAGACCTTCAATGAGCAGGCTCTGCAGTACGTTGTTGAGAACATCGCAGAGACCACCGGTTGGCTCCTGGAGATCGTCAACTACAACGTTGCCAACATGCAATACGTTGCCGCTGGTGACCTCCGCGCCCTCGACTGCCTGACCAACCTGCTCAACTTCCTCAAGGCGCAGAACATTGACATCCCCGCTCTCATGCAGAGCATGTCCCTGGAAGATGTCAAGGAGCACCTCGTGGGCATCATCCAGGAGTGCGTCAAGCAAACCGAAGCCAAGCCCCGCCCCATCAACCTGGAGCGCGGCTTCGCCACCATCCCTCTCAAGGGTATCGACGTGCCCTTCCACAGTACCTTCCTGCGCTCCGGTGTCAAGCCCTTCCGTTCCTTCTTGCTGAAGAAGATTAACAAGACCACCATCGACCCCAGCAAGCTGGTCGGCAAGTACATCCCCAACGTCACAGCCCGTCCCTTCGAGATCACCAAGGAGTATTTCGAGGACGTCTACCGTCTCACCAACTCCCCTCGCATTGCTTCCATTCTAGCCAACTGGGAGAAGTACGAGGAGGGCACCGAGAACGCTGCTCGTGCCGCTTAATCTTGTGAATTTGATTCCCCGAGTTGTTATAATGTTGTGCTTTTGATAGAGACCTGTTTTCATTGGGTCATTATGTGATATGTCTCAAAGCCTTGGAGTTTTATATGCATGTAAATGAATTTCATTGTTTGTTCAATTTATTTTCTTCTCTTCGGATATGTCCATTGTAAAATGTAGTATCGTCGAGTAGGCCAGTTGCAGTGGATTTACTGAGTACTGTCAAATAATTTATCCGGATACCACAGGTATTGATTGCTTCAGATGAAACTCATCTAGAATATTAGACCATCAACTTGTAGTTAAAGTATTTCCAAAGAAAGCAGCACCTATATCTGCAATCTGCATCTGCAACACATATCCACTCCCAGATCCATCACCATCTCCATCCTCACATTCATCAACTTCACCTCACCTCATCTCAACCCTTGAAAACCATTAATTTCCCTTCCAAGGACCAGGCCTCAACATCCGATCCTCCTTCCCATAAACACTAACATCCTTAACAATAGCAATAAACTTCCGATGATTATCTCCAATCCTCGGCCGGAAAAGCTTCAGCAGGTCACCACTAGAAATCCCCGAAGCAGGAATAGCAGCGTGGATCTCCGCGGGCGTCGGAAACGAGCCAGATCCAGAAGCAGAGAGGGGCGTTGACACGCGACCTCCACGCATTGGTCCTTCGGGGCTGCTGGCGCGGCTGCCGGGTTGTCGGCCTGCCATGGGTGATCCGGCGCGGGAGCCGGCCGGTGTGCCGCTGCGGGAGGTGGCGTTGGGCGGGTTGAGTTTTAGTTTCTTTTTGTTGTTTTCATTTGTTTCGTTGCTGGAGGCTGCGCCGGCTTCGACGTCGCTGCCGGAGTTTGCGCCGCTGCCGGGGATGCGGACGCGTTTTGTGCCCGTCTGGTTTGGATTAGTATGTGGGTTTGTGGGGGATGGTGGATTGTACGTACCTGGATGGCGGATGGGGACATTGGACGGGACGGGGGCTGGGATGTAGGGTTGGTCTTCTTGGGCTTCTTGCGTGATGTGTCGGTTCCACTTGCGTCTGAGGTAGGAGAACCGAGTCTCTTCCGGCCAGCGGCTGATTTCTTGAGGGGGTCTGTGTGCTTGGGACGGCCTGAAGGCGTGTTGGTGCCCTTGGACGAAGATTCTTTCTCTTTCTCGGCTTCAGCCTTCTTGCGCTCCTCTTCCTTTGCCTTCTCGGTCTCGGTGTCATCGGAACTCTGTGGTGAAACGTCAATACTGTCCCAATATAGATTGGCGACACATGCAGGACGTGACCTACCTCGTCATCCGAGTACGGATTGTTTTCAGACCCACTGCTGTAGTCAAAGTTCTTCTCTCTCCTCTTTAGAGCCTTGCGCACACTCTTGCCCAGCACATGGCGAGCCTCTCGTTCACGCAACTCCCGCTTCTCCTCTGCCTCGTAGTCCTTCTCATCCTTGAGATCGAAGACATTGGCCTTGAGCTGGTCCTCTTTGATTCTCTTCTCGGCTTCCTTGGCATCTTCATCATCATTGAAGAGGCCATCATCGTGCTCTTCATCGTCAGCGAAACGATCTTCTTCAAAGTCCATTTCACCGGCCTCCAGCCCCGCGCCCCCAGAGGTGGGAATGCCTTGCTTGCCAGCATAGACCTTCCGCTGCTTAGCATAAATGTCCAATTCCTTCTTCTGTTCCAGCTCTTGCTGCTTTTCCATGAACCATCTGGGGTCCTTGACTTTCTTAGCCATGAACTTCTCAGCTTCCTCAATAGTCAAAGCCTTGAAGTTACTCTTGGCACTAAATTTGTACCACTTCTCGGCCGGAATCATACGCATCTTCCCACCGTCCAGAACAAAAACCGCATGGGTCCCAGACAGAGCAGCCTCGTAGTTTCCAACCCAAGTATGCTTGTTATCGAAATCCTCCAGATGCCATTGCAAAGCCTCCTCGTACTTGATTCGCATTTTCGCAACCTCCTCGGGCGTCATATCAGACTTGAAGACCTGCTGGGTCTTTTGTTTCGGGGCATTAGGTCGTTTCGAGGTAGTACCCAGAGCAGGCGCAATCTGAGCCATATTCTCAGCACGCTCCTTCTCACGTGCCGCCCTGCGCGCATCGAAGGCTTCACGCTCGGCCTCATCCATAGGCGGAGCATCTGGGTCTTCGAATCGTGATGCATGTGCGTCTTGACCGCGCCGTGGATCACGACGGTGCAGTCGGACTGGTCTGGTGAATTGTGATTCATCGCGGGGGTCGACGTTCTTCTTTGAGGCGAAACGCGCAATGTGGTGCTTCAATCCTTCCATCAGAGCTCGCTTTGTCGTGACGACCGGGTAATCGAAGTATTTATCAGTGAGCAAGGGACCGCTGAATCCATTGACGGGGGCATTATTGCTGGTCACGCCGAGTTGGGGCCTCTCGACAGGAGCGGGCGGGATATTGGAGACCGGGGGCCGTGTAGGAAGAGTCTTGGTGGCTATCCGACCAGCCGGAGGGACTCCGGCTGGCTTGGGAGCTGGTCTTCTTTTTGGTCTGACCAATGGATCTGCGGCCTTTGGACGGCGCATTCTCATCGGTGGCGCGCCATTTGGTCCTGCTGGGGTTCGGGCATTCGAGGGGTTTGTAGGAGTCGACATCTTTCCGGTACAGCTGCGTTGGCACGGCTGTAGAAAGTGATGCGACCTCGTGATCACATCAACCTTGAAGAGGGTGACAGTTAATGACCCAAAGGAGCTCCAGCCAGGGATTTGCGACAGAGGTAGCTGGCGGAAGCTGGTGAGAGATGGAAAAAGCAAGGATGAGGAGATGTGCTTGGAGTCGCGAGGTATGACGGCGAGCTTAGTCAGCTCAGTCCCCGGTGTTCTTCCATATCGAAGTTTAACTTGATAGTTTAACTTATACGATTTAACGTTACTTCATTCACTTATTGATATTGTTTCATAACCTATTTATATCCTTGTGCTTTGAGCTGATTTATTTCATCTCCAGCTCTACTGGCCAAACTTTTGACCAGGCTCTAATTGTTTATACGGACAAGCAATCCAGTCACAGCCCTACAACAACAAAGTTAGTACCAAACCCAACATCAAAAGAGAAGAACACCGTGAAAGGACTCACCTGTTTGTAAATCTCCGTTCCCCACCATTTGAATCCATCAACCCAACCGGGGTAAATGAAAGCAAAGAAGACAACCACAACCGCGAACGCCAACCCGGAGTCTAAGGCAGCAGACAAAGTCATGGCATATTTCTCCCACCAAGCAGTCCTCTTTCTCCGGATCACATAATTGAATATGAAACAGACAAGTGCCCAAATGGAGAAGTTGAGTCCCGTGGCGGGCGGGATCCAACTTAGACTGCCGAATAGAATGGGGAAGTTGACCTTACGCCAGAAACTCTTCTTGCTGTGTCGGCCTAGGAGCCAAGTTCCCAGCGGTGCCACGGCACCTAGCAAAAAGGCCCATACAAGTGGTCTGTAGAGGCCTTCTGGGCCGAAGAAGCGCTGGGGACCGACGACTCCCCAGAGAACGCTGCCGTTGAAATGGACTCGGGCGATGGGGCAGTTGAAACCGTTGATGGCTTCGGGTGTGCACAGTTTCGGGATGTAGGTGAACATCCAGTTCAGCACGCCAATCTGGGTTAGACTGGAAACCAATGTTGCCATCATTTGCACGCCAAATAAGATTCGGGGTGGGATTTTCATGTAGTGACCAAGTTTTAGGTCTGAGGAGAACTTGATGCCTTGTGCAGAGCTGATGTATGAGTAGGTCACGAAGATCATGTTTGCCACGGGCCTTCCTGGGAATACAATGCCACAGATAAGTTGGCAAACTAGATAGAGGCTGCTGTGTTGGTTTGTGACTGCCATGATGATGCCCACTGGAATGAAGAAGAGACTGGTGATGACGAGAGCTAGGAGTAGCCCGTACCAGGGAAGGTGGGTGGGGTAGCTTGAGAATTGTTAGTTTGGATGAAACAAAGAAGAATAGAGCACACGTACTATTCCACCGTAAAAGTGGCAATTGCCAACATGGAAATGAACACAAGTATATACCACGTGAGAGGAGCATCCTTGTAGCGCCTCATCAAGCGGCAATGGACATCTTCCATTCCCAGTTGGCTTTCCAGGCGAGGATCTGAGCCAGTTCTTGAAATACCAAAGCTCTGCTGGCTGCCACTGTTGTCACCTCGAAGAGGTTGATATGTCTCCATGGCTGGGACATCTTGTCGCTCGTCAAAGGCCTTTCTAGTTTGTTGCCAGATGTCTTTCCCATACCAGCAGATAGTGTGGGTGACGAGAGATGTCAAAGCAGCGAACTGTACTCCATATGACAATACGTAGGTGATTGGGAGGTAGACCGGGGAGTAGTCCTTATAGGCCTGCTCATCGAACAAGAACTCTCCGGTTAGGATTCGGCTGACGTTGTAAGGTTTGCCAGTGTTATCAAACACGGCTGTTGAGAGAATGGGCATGTATGAAGAGAAAAAAGCATTTTTGTAATCTGTTTGTCGTTAGAAGTGCATGGAGAGGGAGGTTGAGGTGTTAGGTCTTACAGAGGATCGGAGCAACAGCCCAAATGACAACCACTAAGCCTGTCACAATGTTGGCTGCGGCCCACCAAGGCGTTAGCAATGGAGAGCCAATGTAGGCAATCTGAGCCCAATCAAAGGTCAAAGGGAACATTCCAAGACCCGAAGCAACGCCAAACTAACGCAAGTCAGCGAGATAACAATTGAAGATAGGTTCTAGCACATACCAAGTTTGAAACGACAACATTCTTAGGTGCCAACCAGGTGATAACGTTGAAGTAGCTGAGAGCAGGCATCAACAAACCTGGAACGAAGTACCAGAGAAATGCTCCTGCCCAGACAATGATGAAAAATTTGTATCGGGAGATACTCCACCCGTTGGCCTTTTTGTTGACAGACTTGTGCATGGTAGAAAACATGGCAGTAGACATCAGGGTGCCTGGCCAGATCATGGCCGAAGGCCGCACCAAGAATCGTCGAGTCAGTCCGGCGAATGCATAACCTAGGACTTGGGTCGATATGATGAGCAACAGTTGGTACATGATCGGAACGTCCTGGTTGTAAAATTTGTGTTGCTCAACAAGAACCTGTTATTTCCGTCAGATTTTGAAGGGGTGTGTAAAACTTCGGGGTATACTAACATCAGTGGCGAAAGCGAATCCAAAAGAAACATTGCTGCTGATGTATACACAAGCATGTTCTTTCTCGTTCCAATGGCCCTGGCCAAACCAAAGCCTGGCTCGAGTCCCCAATGAAGTAGGAGGGGCATCGATATCGCCGTTGAGCGGTTCCCGTTGAAGAAGGGTTCCGTTCTCGAATACTTCGATAGGGTCGCCTGTGTGTTTGAAGAGTACATCCCAAAACTTGCCAAGTGGATGTACCAAAACGAGAGCAATAATTGGAGTAATAGCCACGCTGGGATAGCGCAGCGAAAAGAAAAGATTGGCGGCCGAACCTGTTAAAGAAAAGAGCAATGACAAAATCCACATTCGTGGTGCTAAATCCAACATCAGATGAAATTCAAAGACTCGAGATTGATGAGCATACTGTTAATGGAAAGAGTGACATTGTCTGTGGCCGGCACCGAAGCTCGCACTTGAGCATACCTGAGATCAAAATATATCAGCAATGAACCTCTATATACAGACTAGCTCGGCATCCTCCCAACTTACGGCGAATTATCCGGCGGATCCTCATCCGAAGACTTTGAATAATCATCATCGATATCCAAAACATCTTCTTCATCACTAGTCATAAAAGGCGATGATGCGGGCGTCTCCTGCATGACCGGGTTACCCGGGACAGCCAGTCCAGTAGCAAACGAGAACTTGGAATCAGCACCCATGCCAACATCAGACGCAGCAGTAGAAGGCCTCCGATTGCGCCTCTCAGCATACATGCTATTCCGCCGCCTGATAGAAGAATAAGACAGCCTGGGTCCAGCACTCGAGCTCGCAGCACCATTTTCAAAGCTAGCGCGCTGCAACCGAGCATGACGACGGGAACCAGACGACCTGGTAGTGCCAGTCTCAGTCCTAGTCCTAGTCCCGGTCGCAGCCTCAGCCTCAGCCTCAGCCTCTATCTCGCCTGACCCATCGCCATCTCCATCTCCGTCTCCGTCTGGGATGCCCACGGCTCCGTAAGACGAGGCACCCAGCGCGGGCGACGAGCGGAGAAGAGGGGCGCGCGACATTAAGGCCCGCACGCGCTGGGCAATTGTCCCTGTGTCCGGGTTCACGTCGGGCGGTAAATCGATATCTGAAGCGCAGTCTGAATCGCTGTCACAGTTTCCATTGTTGCAAGGATCTGACTCGATTGGATCTTGATTCTGATCCGCGGGAAGCCACTTGCGCCTCGGGACCGAGGGGCAAGACAGCTTCCGCGTCCGCAGTGGAATATCGGTCGTCGTTATGGTGGGGGGATGATGAAATACTGTGTGTATTTCCGGTTTAGGGCATGCAGTAGCTCATTTTGTTTCGTGCATTGGGGGAATCAGAGATGGGAGAGAGCAGAGCTAGTCGGGACTAGAGTCGTAGTGTGATGAGGGACCCACCCGACATCGGGCTTTTGATCTCCCAGCCTTACTTCTATACTGTAAGTCGATGTCTACGTTCTTTATATCTATGAATGTGACTCTGTGACTCTGTGACTCTATATACATAATTCAGAGGTATCTATCGCTAAAACAGTTCTACAACCTGATCATCCTCGTTTTTAGCAGGCTCTAGTTGAGGCTGCTCGGGCTCTTGGCCCTCACCCTCCTCGTCACGCATGAGCACCTGCACCAACCGGTCGCAAGCCTCTTGCACATTCTCATCCTCCACATGCAAATGGGTCTCACGGATCAGAGGGTAGACCTTGACAGCACGCATCTTATCCCGACCTTCCCGAGTGGTAGTCATGAGGAGCAATGTTTCAAGGTGGGTAGTGACGATAGTGTTATCGCTGTCACGCTGCTTGTCAGGGGGCAGCAGCTGGAGATCGGGCAGCATGTCCATGGTATCTTCTTCAGAGAATTCCTCGGGTCCAGCAAGGGGGAGAAGCAGGTAAGGCAAGAGGTTAACAGCGTCCTCGTCGAAGAGCATGGGATGCGAGGAGACGTCGAAGGCGACGTTCTTGATTGTGGATGCTACACCCTTTCGGCGGATGTTGCTCTTGTGCTCGGTAAAGACAGTCAGCTTGGTGATGGGCACGACGCCATCGTACTCCTGGCGCTCAGTGAAATACGCCCGACCCTTCTCAGTCTGGGATAGATCGGCGAATACGTATGACAGGTAATCATAGTTGGCATGCTTGTTGAGACCCCCCTCGGCACCCTTGACGAAGCAGTCCATAATCTGGTCGATGGCGTTCTCAGAGGTCGATACAGACTCGGGGACTTTGCGCTTCAGCTCGAACAGTTTTTGGAGGACATCGGACTTGACCAGGTTGGCCAGCAGCATGGCGACTTCGTCGACGTTGGGATCCTTGACACTCTGATTCAACTATATCAGTATGGATCATGCGCATATATTTTTGGCTTTACTCACAGTCAACTTCAAGAGCAAGGTCTCAATGAATTGGTCATCCTCGGCGAGAATCTTCAACACTTCCTCGTCACCGGACAAATTGACCAGCATTGTTAATGCATTTTTCGCGATTGGCTAAACAGCACATCAGTTGGTATGTCCCTCCACTAGATCGATTTCAACGCACGGTATAATCGCGAGCTAGAAGCTTCAGGTCGCGGACGGGCAGTAGTTGTTGGCGCTTGAACAGGTCAGGCTGCGCAGTGGAGAAGCCGACGAGGTTTTCGCAAGCTAGGGATATACTGTCAGTTCATGCGCTGGTATTCCGGACGGGATTTCGTACCGATTTGTCTGATCTGGGTGTTTCCGTGGTGGAGGAATTCCACCAGCTATAGAATTGGTTAGCCTCTGGATGTCGCAACACACTTTTGTCTGTCTTACCTCTTCGAGTTCGGTCGGCATAATGTGCTCAAATAGTGTATGAGCCTGTGTCAAGCCGTGTACAAGTTCAAGTGAGTATGAAGTGTGCCCTAAGATTTTTTTCGGAAGTGGGGTGTTTCGACGTCACTAGAAACGCGGAGATCTCTCTGACCAAGCGGATCTATACATTCCAGTATGCACATAAGTTATAGCTATATATGTACATGTAGTTGCGTCTATTTGATTACTCGCATTATGTTCATAATATTAAATAGACACTCTACCTACAATATCGTAGTCAATTGCCTCTAATCTCCGGCTGCCCCGCCTCTAGCGCTGTCCGGGGAGATCCTCACCCTCCATACTTCAACCTCACACTTCCTACAATCCCTGCCCTACACCAAAATGGAGACTCCAAACCTCCCCGAAATCCACGACTACCTCATCGAACTGGCCTTCAAAGCTGGCGACATAATCAACAATGCCCTCCCAGAAACCAGCGGTACAGGAGCCAAAAAGAACAGTCCGTCCATCTCGCCCCTCCGCCAAACCCCCAACCACAAACCAAACCAAACTAACATAATCCAGGCGCGGACCTCGTAACAGAATACGACCGCGCGGTCGAAACCATGATCTCAACCTCCCTCCAAACAAAATACCCAAACTACAGCTTCCACGGCGAAGAAACCTACGACCCAAGCAAACCCCTCACAGACGCACCAACCTTCATCGTAGACCCAATAGACGGCACAATCAATTTCATTCACAGCTTCCCATTTGCCTGCGTGTCTCTCGGTTTCGCTGTGAACCGGATCCCCGTCGTGGGCGTTGTGTACAATCCCTCTACGAAGACGCTCTACTCAGCCATCAAGGGCCAAGGCGCGTTCGTGAACCGGACGACTCAATTGCCGCTGCGGGGGAGTAATGTTGAGCCGTTGACTGGACTGTCGAATGCGCTTGTGGCTATTGAATGGGGGTCTGATCGGAGTGGGGGCAATTTCGATACAAAGGTCAAGACGTTTGAGAAGCTTGCAAGGTCGAGGGATGATGGTGGTGCGATGGTTAGGTCGTTTAGGAGTTTGGGGTCTGCGGCCTTGAATCTTTGTGCTGTTGCTGAGGGGACGGTTGATTTGTATTGGGAGGGTGGGTGTTGGGCTTGGGATGTTTGTGCTGGTTGGGTGATTTTGAGTGAGGCGGGTGGGAGGATGGTTGGTGGGAATAAGGGGGAGTGGGAGGCTACGTTGGATGGGAGGAAGTACCTTGCTGTGAGGGGTTCGCCTGGTGGTGTTGGGCAGGAGGAGATTGTGAAGGAGTTTTGGGGGTATATTCAGGGTGAGATGGTTTATTGAGTTAGAAGTATTTCGCCTTCTAGGTAGAGAGCATTGTTCGAGTTCCATCACTGCATTCAGTACTTAATTACAGGGTATATCCGAAATATAAGGTAGTATGTACAATCCAAGGGCGAGTAGAGCCCTACATCTGTCTAGACCATCGGAAACCAGAGTTAACCTCCTCTTCAAAACCAGACTCGCAATCATCTTCGTCAACTTCTCGATCCGTCCATCGAGCCGAATCCAGCCTCGATACACTGCTCCCCTGTTCAGTCGGGCTCATAGTCCGTTGGGATTCATTCTCACCGGAGAATGCATCACTCCGATGACCATGATTCCGCAACGGATCAGACACATTCAAACCAGAGACATCAGGCAAATCATCTGTATCCTTATCGGTCTCCAATTCAGGCGTCTTGGTTTGGTCTTCGACCTCATCTCCTGAGCTGGTCGGCCCGACATTGGGAGACATTGCTCGGTCCACGCTCCGCTTTTGCGAATCTTGAATGTCGATAACAGGCATGTGGGCGAAGTGCGTATCAACTAAGTGTTTCACGACAGGCCAGCCGTGGGCGTTGGTGAACATGCGTCGCACGATAATGTTATTATGAGCATCCGGCTCGAGTCGGACTAGGACCTTGCGCCAGGATAGATCGCGGTGGTAGGCTCTTGCGATTTTCTCCTCGACCTTGAGGCCGCTCTCGGCACTGTTTGCACTGGAGCTAGAGCTTGGGGGTAATTGCGTCGCCGAATTGGGTGCTGACTTTGATTGTTTGTTCTGTAGCGAACCGAAAGCCAATGTGCGCCGCTTGACCGGCAGAGGAGGGGGTATATCTTCCGGATGGTATATGCGGTCGTGGAAGATGGTTCTGGGTCGTGAGGCAGGGTCCAAGATGAACTCTGGTGGTGGAAGTGGTGGCATCAGTAAGTCTCCTGCAGACTCGAAGAAGGTTGTTTTCGGGGGCGTGTGGACGCCGTCGTTCTCGTATGTGGAATGGCCGTGGGTAACAGGCGCTGGGCCATCACCAGCCTCAAAAGAGCCTAGAGTCTGGCTGCGTCTGTAGATTCGGGAATTCTTGCCACCATGGGGAGTCTTGTTCTCCTTAGGGCGGAATAGTGAGAAAAAGGTGTCCAGAGGACCAAGAGAGGCATTTCCTGAGATATTCTCTTTCACGGATCCCTCTTCTGGAATACTCATGGGAGACAAACGATTACTAGGTGGTGCAAGGAACTGGCCGGGCCTTGGAGCGACGGCCTCGTCCACCTCATCGTCTTTCTGTCTTTGCGGAACTTGAACGGTGGGATGTGAATGCTGACCAGTCTCGACTAATTCAGTCAGAGGTGATTCATCACCGGAGCGACCCAACCGTGGAGACTTCGAATGTGCTCCAGTCAACTCTGCCCAGCCCCATTCAGCCATAGTTCCGACAAGTCCGTTGTCCCTCCTCGCCTTCTCAACCCGGTCCAGACCTTTCCAGTCTAGGAAGAGCAGACAAGAAGTGCGTAGAGGAACAATTCCATCGTTCACCACGTTCGAATACACAGTACGATGCTGAAACTTGCTGAGAACCTCATGCGCAGGACCACATGGTAGAATCCGCAGAAGCGGCTTGGAACCAGGATCCGGTTGGGCTTGCTCTTTTGCTGAATCTCCTTTTCCGGCAATGATGGCCCCCCAGCCACTGCGTACTTTCGGTGCTGTCCAGCTCAATCCGAGATCTTGTCCAGTACGACCAACCAGACCCAAGTCTAGGGCAAAGCGGACATACATTGGGTTTTCATTGCTGAGGCCGAGGAAAGGACTTGCGAGAGCGATGAAGTTGACCGGCTGGATCTTATCAAAGAACTCGGGAGAGTGCTTTTGAATGTATGCAATTGCATATGTCTGAATCAGTCCTCCCAGGGAATGCCCGATAAAACTGATACTTGTAATCTGGTAAGGGTGATCTTCACCTCCGATGGTGTTGTCGCTGTTCTCAGTGGCCACATGGTGAGGATGAGATGCATGAGTATGCTGCTTGCGAGCAGTAAAAGGCCGAATGAATGGGCTTGGCTTGGAGCCTTTGAGGGGGAAGTACGGTTGATCTGGATATGTCAGGAGCAAGACATATTTGGCCAGACGTTTCCCGAGATATTGAATTCCACGTTCAGTGCGAACAGCGTTGCCAGAGAATCCTCGGACAATGACTTGCTCTTCGTCTCCTTCGTCGGTATCAACTTGGCTCCCATCAGCAGATTTTGCGTGGCTTTCTCTCCTTCTGGGCGTCTTCGTAGCTGCATCAATGCTCTCTTTCATGAAGAGCATGTCCGTACCCAGATTGCTGTGTAACCCGTGCGTCAGAAGCACAAGATGTACCTTCTTCTTCTTCTTCTTGTTCTTCTTGGCATCTGCAGGTGCTTCGGGTCTGCTCTGCGGATCCGGGTGCTCTTCCGTGGGAGTTCTCAAGTCATGAGTTCCATCCTCATCCTGGGAATCCTCAGCAGTTGGAAATGGCGGACTATTCCACAAACTATTCGTATCGTCGACCTGCAAAGCAATCGACTTCGAATACACTCCTTTAGCAGCGAGAGCCTGTTTCCCTTTAGCATCAGGCGACCAATGATCCAGCAATTTCCCAGGAGGACCATGGCCACTACTCCAACCCCCGCCAGAGAAGTATTCCAGCGATTTCTCATCGCGACCAACCAATAACTCGAAATGAACCGCTGCACTACTCGAGAATATCACCTGCGACTGTATCTCAATAATCCAAGTAACGCTCTGCTCTCCATTCAACCCTTGATTCCCGGATGACCCGAAGTTCTGCGCGTTCTGGACATAAGACGGGACTTTGATGACGGCGTCCCAACCACCTCCAGCCTTGAGATACGGCTCATACTGCGGGACGCCTTCTAGATCTTGTCGTTCGTACTTGATATTCGGGTCAAATTTCGCCGGGTAGCAGGCGGCGTAGAGCGTGTAGGGACCGTGGAGGTATGCGGCGCGCAATGGGAGAGCGGAGCTGTTCTTCACCCGCACGTAGAGCTCGGAGGGGATGGGAAGGATTGGATCAGCTGCGGGCGTGTATGTAATCGTATATCTGATCAGTTGCGGTTAGCATATGAGTGTAGTTTATGAGTCCGTGAGACTCCAAGGACACGCGACAGTTGATTTCTGCCCGTTTGAGGAGCGCTCCATGCTTGGAGCTGCGCTTCCTCCTTGGCAAGCTCACCTGACGACTTCCCCTACTCGCACACTGCCAACTTGGTGGATCATCAACATCTCTGTTGCTCGTTTGGCGTCGGGGCATTCGCGCCACCCGGAAAGGGTGTGGTATCGGGACCCTTTAGAGGAGAGTGTTCGGTCTGGGGATTGAGAGGCGGAATAGGTGCGCGCAGTGATCAGCATCGATTCGGATGGGCAATTCCATCATACATTTAAGAGGACATGAAGAGAAGCTGATACTTGCCCTGAAGGGTTGGGGCTGTGTTTATCGGAGATGGCGGGAGAGACACATGATTCCTTGGATCGGCGCTGACCCGGCAATCTCATACTTGTATACTTTCAAGGTATTCTTATATACTAATTGTATTCTAGCATGAATATGAGTGCGTATGCGTATTTGTTACTGAATCAAGTGAAGCAACCGCTCTGGCTCTTTATACAACTCCATCCAACCATCCCTCTCAACAGCAACAATCTTCCCATCAATACAAACCCGCCGCCATCTTTCCTCGTCTTCCAGGAAATCAATTCGAAGCCCTTCAATATCAGCATATGTAACCGTCTCCTCTGTAACATGCTTGCCACCCTGATAAGCCAAAGTCATCAAATGCAACGCATCTTCCGGCGACATAGGTCCAAACCGAATGAACCGCATCTCTCCACTGAGTGGCACAGACTCTGGAGAAATCAAAAACTCCTTCTCAAGACGCGGAACCATTGCAGCAAGCGCATACATATGCTCATCATTTCCCAGGATTTCCCGACGAACATCCCCCTCGTGCCCATCCTTCCGTAGAGTCATAGTAATCTTCCCCTTGAACCGATGAGACGGAGAACCATCAGAAGGATAAAGCAGCTCGTTGGCAGCCATTTTAAACCGATCAATACCGAATTTGCGATATTCAACTGTATCACTGTCCGCAACGAGCGCAGCATGAAGACCCCAGCTCGCAACGACGGCACCGTGTATCGTCCGATAGGCAGCATCGTCACTGTCACTTTCTATCGGCGTCCGCTGACGACCCTCATCAACGACAAACTGACTCCCAGGCGAGAACCTGGCGCCGAAGACTGGGATGGGAGATGGTGTGCCTTGGAGTAGTGTTGGCAGACCTGGTATCGGACCGGATCGTAGTCCAATTGAACTCGCCATGGCGTTGCCTGTCCCGCATGGAATCAGGGCGATATTAGGTGGAATTTTGAGTGTCTGCTTTGATTTGTAGAAGATATCGAGGATGTCAATCAGGCCCCCATCGCCTGAGAGAAGGATGATGGTTTGGGGAATTCCTTCGGCGGCATGGTTGATGAATTTGGATTGTGTCAGTTCGGTGATTGTCTGTGCAGACTCTGTTTCGTATACTTCGATGCCCTCTAGCCCAGTATAGTTGAATAGAGGTTGTAAGGCATCCTGGAAAACGGTTTTGGCTTTGCCTGTCCCCGAGCCAGTGGATATCACCACTTGGATAACAGGTGGCCTCTCTGCGTTTTGAAGATGGCTTGGGATAGTCGTTACAAAACGAGATAGCTCAGACGGTAGACTCTTTATGTCGATCTTCTTTAGATATGTGTGCTCTTCTGACTCATCGCTGTCTTTTTCGGTTTTCTGGAAGAACAGTACGCGATACTGACTCGGCGCTGGATCCGGCAGTATACACAGGATGTCATCGAAGTCAATCGTTCCGTCGACCCCGTATTTCAGCGTGTTGCCAACTATGTCAACCTCGACAGTCGATTCAGACATTTCGGAATGAGTCTTGGAATGAAATGTCCAAGAGTCAAGGAAGAAAAGTAGGTAAACCACGGGCTTTGATAA